GGGAACAGGCTCATGGGTCCCGGCCTGCACCCCGCGGAGGCTGCATGGACAAGGGGCCTGGAAGGCTCTCCTACTTGTCTGCTTGCACTGGGGGCCGCCCCGGCCCCTGGAGCCTGTGTCCCCTCCCTGCTGGAGGCCAGCAGCTCAACACCCTTCTGCACATGTCTGGGCGGGCAGGGCTGCCTGGCCAGGTGTGGGCACCTACGTGAGGGCGAGGGGTAGTACTCCAGCACCAGGGCCGCATCCTCGGAGAAGCTGGTGGCTCCGTCTCGGCCTTGGAAGAGGAAGGCCTGGTTCCACAGGGGCTGCTCTGGGGGCCCCCCAGGCTTGGACAGCTGGAAGGAGAGGGTGGGAGCAGGTGGTGGGCCTTGCTGACCCCCAGTCCAGGACGCTCGGGTATGTGGCTGTGTGTGTCTCAGTCACAAAGGTTGTCCCATGGTAAGAGCAACACATGCTTACTGAATCGATTTTGGAAAACGCAGGAAAGTAAAAGAGGGGGACCTGATATTTCTACACTAAAGACTATCATAAAACCATGGGTTCCTTTTCAGTCATTTCTATTTTAATTTCATTGCCAGAGGACGTGTGCATTTGAGAGAGAGAGAATGAGAGAAAGAGAGAGAGAGCCCCCAGTAGCCCCCAGTAGAACATGGTCACACCACTGTCCTGTCTCCATTTCCCCCTTCCATCAGGATTTTGGGCACGCACGTACCCCCAGCATGCTTAGCCACTGAGCTGGGATTTGAACTGCAGTCAGCCCAATGGATCCGCTCTCAGTGCAGGCTGTGCTAAGGGGCCGTCCCTCCAGGTTTTTTCTACACGTATTTTGGATATGACTGTTATCTTACCATCCTGCCTTTTTTTTTTTTTTTTTAGTGTTTTTGTGTTTTCTTTCCATCCTGCCTTTTTTTTTTTTTTTTTTAAGATTTTTGGTATCGGGCATGTATACTTGCCAGAGACAGAGAGATAGAGAAACAAAAAGCAAGAAATCACCCCCTAGAGGGGATGGCCACACCACAATCCGTTCTCCTCCATTCTCCTCTCATGATCTTGGGCACACACAGACACGCACCCGGCATGAGTTTAAGCCACCTGGTCTGGGACTTGAACCCTGGTCGACTACATGGGAGTCCAGCAACGTAGGCATGACACCAACTGCTGGTCCCAACGTGGCCCGATTTAAACCATGGCACAAGTCTGCGTTCGTTCTAGTTACGTAGGGAGGCTCTATGGGACGTTCCTATGGGTGGCCTAAAGAGCCCCCTCGAGGCAGAAGGACCAGAGGAAGCCCTGGTGGGAGATCTGCAGTGACGGGAAGGAGAAAGGTCTCCTGGGCAGGGAACGGCCAGCCAGACCGAGCAACGCCAAGCATGGCACGGGCAGAGATGCCTGGGATGACAGGTTCCGGGGGAGGCCGCGTCTGGGAAGGCTGGAAGGTGGGGACGAGGGTAATGGGAGGTCAACTGAACCTCCCAGCCAGCAGCCCGAGCGGTCCCAGCACAGGGTCATCGGCACAAACTAAGTGGCCGCCTGGCCTCTGCCCCCAGCCAGGGGCTGTCAGCCCCCGCAGCGGGCGGTCCCCCCCACCC